TATTGACTAGACTTAAAGATAATATGTATGTATATATATATATATATATATATATATATATATATATATATATATATATATATATATATATATATATATATATATATATATATATATATATATATATATATATATATATATATATATATATATATATATATATATATATATATATACATGTATGTATGTGTGTGTGTATGTATGTATGTATATGTGTGTATGTATATGTGTGTATGTGTATATGTGTATGTGTATATGTATGTGTGTATGTGTATATATATACATATATGCTTCTTATATATATTCTTCTTGTTTCTTTTTGTTTGTCTGTTTTAATTTTGTTTAAAAAAAATATGAGTAGATGAACTTAAATCTATAAAATGTTCAGAATCTTTTTTAATTCAAAATATCTTTTGTATATTTAAATATATATTATGAAGTTTATTGGATATGTATACGCATATGTACGGATTTGTAAATTATTTTTTCAAAATTTTTTCTTTTTTCTTATTTTCAAAATAAGAAAAAAGAAAAAAGAAATAAATTTATTTGAATGTAAGGTTAACATTGTAAAATGTGTCAAATGACAAAAAAAAAAAAAAAAAAAAATAATAATAATAATTTCAGTTTTTTTTTAATTAAATGATAATTTATTGGATAGAAGCCACTGGAGTAGATTTTCTACTCATGGGTAATATTTTTGTTTATCTTTTAAAGTGATTTGTTTATTAAAAGCAGATTGGTGTCATCAGCGAAGTGGTAAGCAGTGGAAAGTTTCAGAGAAGTATTAAGATCATTATTAAAGAGAAGGAAAAGCAAGGGCCCTAATACAGACCCTTGTGGGACGCCATTTGTTGATTTTATGAATTCAGATTCTATCCCATTAATAGAAACAAATTTTGTTCTATTTTGAAGATAAGAAGAAAACCATTGGAGTGTTGTGCCTCTGATACCATAGTACTCTAACTTTCTAATAAGAATGGAATAATCAACTGCATCAAAGGCTTTCTGGAGATCTACAAAATTACCACATGCAAACAATTTATTGTCCAAAGCTGTTCTAATTTTTTCAGTTATATTAATTAGTACATGAGATGTTGAATAATTGTTTTTAAACCCATACTGATTTTTATAAAGACATTTAAATTTCTCCAGAAAATTGTAAAGTCTATTGTACATAGCTTTCTCAAATAGTTTGCTGATACTTGAGAGAAGGGAGATTTGGCGATAATTAGAGTAATTCGGTAGAGAACCTTTTTTTCGTATTCGTGTTACTTTAACTATTTTAAGAAGATTTGGGAAAATTCCAAATCTCATCATTATGGATAATGGCTTTGATTAGTGGCTTTGGATAATGGCTTTGAGATTATGAATAATGGCTTTGAGATTATGGATAATGGCTTTGAGATTATGGATAATGGCTTTGAGATTATGTTTAGAATAAGCTTAAGAACAAATGTGGGCTGTTTGGGCCCAGACTTTTTTTGTTTTAAAATTTTATTATGAGACTTGACACCTCAACATCAGTCACTGGCTCAAAGAAAAAAGAACTTTAATAGGACTTTTTAGAAAGTCTCTAAAATTATATTTAGGGATAATTTTTTTTGTTTATTAAATTCTCTTGGATAGCAGCAAAGTATTTGTTAAAAATATCAGCAGTTGCGGTTGGATCATAGGTGAATTTATCGTTTATTTTAAGGTGGAAATAGTTATTGTATATAATAGGCCTAATGTTGACAATTTCTTGTATTCCTTTCCAATTTTTTCTAATGCTGTTTTGGTTGTGGTTGAAAAAGGAAACATAACACATTTTTTTGTTTAAGTAATTTGTCTATTTAATTTCTAAATAACCTAAATTTATCAAAGATTTATTTCATTAATATTGTTTGATTTAACAAATTTTTTATGAATGACATTTTTTGGTTAAGATGGAATAAAGAATACCTGCGGTTATCTATGGTTTAGATTTAAGTTTAATTTTTTTTTTGTTAAAACTTTGTAGGGAGCATAGGGAGCATAGAACTTTTTCAAATGTATTTAAAAAACTTATCATTGATTTATTTATATCGTTGTCTTTTATTTGTACCTCCCAGTTCATACTAGATTTTGTTTGTATAAAGGTGTCAGGTGTCAAAGTAAGTTTTTGAAAAATTTTTGTTTTTGAAGTTTTTGAAGCATCTTCTAGAGATTTTTATATTTTTTGGGGGGTAAAAAGAAATACCAGAAATACAGAGAAACTGGGCCATGTGGTCTGAAATAGAAACTGTTATATTGCCAGAGATTGTTTCAGGAGAATAGAAGTTTATAAAAATATTATCAATGAGAGTTTTGGTTTTTGAAATTACACGTGTTGGAAGAATAATGGTTGGAAGAAGCGAGCAAGAGCATAATATTTGGAGATAATTAGAAACAGGAGATTCTCTATTTCTCTATAATTCTCTATAATTAATTAAGTCCATGTTGAAATAATCCATAGTATAATTTTTTTTTTTTCATAACTTAACTTCTCAAGTAAAGGAGTTAAATAGTTTGCTATGAATTCATTTGCATTTAAAGTTGGGTGACGATATAAGCAGCCAATTAATGTATTGGTTTTATGAGGGTTGATAGCTTCAACAAAAACTGATTCGAGAAATTTTGAGGCATAGATTGTAAGATCATCACGAACTACGTAGTTAAGATTAGAGCTTAGATAAAGAAGAGCCCCACCTTTTTTTGACTCAGTAGATTCCTCAGTAGTTCCCTCAGTAGGGCGATGTTAAGTGTTAAATCCATTTATGGTTATATCAGTTATATTTGAGTCTTTTATATATAAATTTGATTAAGTAATTCCTATCACCATAGAGGAAGTGCGAAAAGTACCAAAATAGGCTACGGAGATCGTCGATATGTTGTGGTAAGGAAGCAATATTGAGATGAAGATATATATTAGGATTTAAAGAATTGTTGAGTTCATATCTGTATATCAACCTTTTAGGTAAGCAGGAGGTTCAAGAGATTATAATAACTTTAGTGGAAAATTCTTGCATGAAAATGTAAGTTTAAGTTCTTGATCGGAAAGGGTACTAAATGGTATATTTTTGAAAATACAGTCAAAGCAATAACATTCTAAAAAGTCATTAAAGATAATGTTTTATATATGCTTATTGATTAGATTGCACTTTGTGTGCATCCAAAAAGAGCAGCAGTCACATTGGATGGCTCTATGGTTTTTGGATACATTTTTTTGCATAGTTTGCAGGATTGTTTTAATACCATACTTATTAAATTAATATTTATGATTTACATAAAAGTCTATTAGAAGTTTCTAAGTATATAGAGATAATGCAAACAAAATGATAAAGTAACAAATTGAAATGATAAAGCAAGGCTGAAATGATAAAACATATGATTTAATGGATTAGGTTTGTAGTTGTAGTTCAATTTATTTGTGTAATATATTATTAATGTATACAGTATGTTTATACTATCATTTTATAATATCTTTTTAAACAAAGTTAAAAAGAGAAACTTTATATTATAGTCATAACTAAAAAATATAAGTTCAGATAACTAAGTAATATTTTATTTTAAAGAACATAGGGGTAATTAAGCAATATAACAATAAAATATAAATTAATAATAAGAAATATAATTGTATGTTATTGGTAAATACACTAATATTATTAAGTAATAATAAGTATTTGTATACTTTAAGTTTAAGACTATTTATCTAAAAACTATAAAATATAAGTATAAAACTATATAACTACACGAACTTATAATATGTGTCAAGCTTGGATGCTACGAACTCCTTTATGAAATTTTTGATATGAATAAAGTGGATGGAACATGGTTATCTTCCGAGGACAAGCGATTGTACCATCTTTAAGCGGAAAGCAAAGGAACAGTGAGATACTCTACAGGCCAAAAAAAAAGAATTGATCCATCCCTCTAAAAGACAAAAACTTTCATCCAACTCATCATCTTACTATCCTGGTTTTAGTGGTTCTGACTCTGAGGCTGACAACAGTGAATTTAAAAACAATGAAAAAGAAGATGAGGCAACTCCTACACAAAGCAGAAACCATCGTAAAACCAAAATTGCAGTCAACTTCGTGACCTCCACAAGAGTACCAACAAACAAGGCTGCTAACATATGCAAACAATTGGTTCGTGAAGACATTGACATCCCAGCTCCAAGTCAATCAGTTATTTACAAGTCAACAATCAAAGTGGCAATCTAGCTGAAGGAAGAAATAATTGAAAAGTTGCATATGGAAAGTTGGTCCTTACACTTTGATGGAAAGCACATTAACATAATGAATTATCAAGTGGTCGTCCTTAAAAATGAAAGAAGAGAAATCAAATTGAATGTCCTTGTCTTGGTAGATGACAGGGTTTTAACTATTGCCTAAGGAATTTCTAAAGTCCTCGATAAATTTCACTTAAGGAATTCAATACAGATGATTGTTGCAAATACCACCAGCGTTAACACTGCACCAGCACCAGCAGCAACTACCAGCGTTAAAACTGGAATAATGGTTTTGTTGTAGTATTGCAACGAATGTTCACAGAGAAATCAACAAACCTCAGTTTATCAGTTCAGAGAGAAATACAACAAACCTCAGTTTATCAGTCAACACCAAGTATTAAATAGAATCCTCCGTTTCTCGATGTAAATTTATATCGTATGGCTGGGCAGAACATTAATTTACAGACCAACTGTACAACAAAAACGACTAATAACTTGGCTGAAATACTGAATCCATATAAAAAGGCTTTAAGCTCTTTGAAAAATCACTGGAATAATTTTTCAAAGAGCTTAAAGCCTTTTTATATGGATTCTATAGCGTGATTTTAATGAAAAATCACGCTATTCAAAGATATGAACATCAGTTAGCTAGTGTTTTAAAAATGAACTAAAGAAACTTTATGATCACATTAAAAAAAAAGAAGAAACTCATAACTTACTTCAAGCTCTCGAAGATGACAATCGAACGACAAATGATTGAAAGGATATGACAACATACACCCCTCGAGTATTACGCAACTGTGCTGCAGCATTCACAAATCCATTAGCTATGATCTACCAAAAATCAATTTGCGATTCACAGGTTCCAGAGCTTTGGAAAAGATCAAATGTCACTCTAATTTTTAAACAAGGCAACAAGCAGAAACGAGCCAATTATAGACCAGTATCATTAACATCGGTATCCTGCAAAATTATAGAAGGTATTATACACAAAAAAATTATAAACCACTGTCTTAGGACTAACCTAATATTTAAAGAACAGCACGGATTTCTTCATAGTAAAGAATGCACATCGAACTTACTTGAGACTAGGGATATACCAACAGAAACAATGCATCAAGGCTACGCCACTGATACTATCTTCACTGACTTTTCGAAAGCCTTCGATAAAGTTCCACACGTCAGACTTTTACACCAACTTAAAGCACATGGTATAAACGGTTTGGTCTTAGACTGGATAGAAAACTGACTAACGAACCGTTATCAACGAGTTGTAATTGGCATGCACAAACCTAATTGGAAATATGTAACAAGCGGGGTACCCCAGGGCTCTGTGCTTGGTCCACTTCTTTTATATTATATATAAACGATCTTCCGAACTATATTACTCACCACATAAAGATTTATGCCGACTATTGAAAAATAATCGCCGTTCTAAAATCTGACGAGGACAAAACTACCTTGCAAATTGACATAGATAACTTAGTAGATTGGTCGCATAAATGGCATATGCCTCTCAACTTCGATAAATGTAAAGTTATGTACGTCGGGCGTGGTAACTCCAAATCTGTTCAAAATTATTGGATGCTTTAGTTGAGTGGAAACAGAATTCAACTGGACATCACTAAGCACAAATACGATCTGGGAGTAATTCTATCAGAAGATCTTAAGGCATGCTATCAAGTCGAATCAGCAGTAGCAAGAGCCAACAGTAAACTTGGTAGACTAAAGAAAATATTTAAAAGTCGTGGACTCTTTTTGTGGAAAATACTCTACAAAACCTATATTAGACCCCAATTAGAATTTGCTATCCAGGCTTGGTCACCACACAACGGGGCTTGGTCACCACACAACCAGGCTTGGTCACCACACAAAGGGGCTTGGTCACCACACAAAGGGGCTTGGTCACCACACAAAGGGGCTTGGTCACCACACAAAGGGGCTTGGTCACCACACAAAGGGGCTTGGTCACCACACAAAGAAAAAGACATTGCTATTCTAGAGCAAGTATAAAGCCACAAAAACAATAATGGAAATGAAGCACTTGCAATATAAAGATGGACTCCGTCAGCTCAACTTAATCACACTTAAAAAAAGGAGAGTTTGAGGTGATCTCATTCAACAGTTTAAATTTTCAAAAGGTATTACCCAAATCATTTTTGAGAACCCTAAAGTCTACGTACCATCGAATTCCAAATACAATTTGCGCGGGTGTTACTTTAGACTTGAAATTCAAAATGTAAAAAATTGTGGTGAAAGATTTAATTTCTTCACTAATCGCATCGTCAATGGATGGAATGTGCTACCTACAGACGCCATAAATACTGAATCAGTTAGCTCGTTTAAAGATAGTGTTGACAATTTGAAACTCAATATAAAAGAATGATCGGGCACACGAGTGTCTTTTCTTTCTGCATGGAAGTGCCTGGTGTCGCACTTTCTCACCAAAATATACACATGTAATGTATGCATTTATTTTTGATTTCTGAAATATATAAAATCAAACTCAAACTCATATATATTTTTGGGGGAATTTGATTTAACCAACCATCTTTCTCGTTTTTTCAAAAACATTTTTAAATAAGTGCTATAGCAAGAATTTTAAAGGTTTTAAACGACCAGAAAATTTTCAAATTGACCAATTTCCCAAATTTTCAGCAAAAAATTTTGTTTTGTTTAACCTTAAAGAAAAAATGCAACTAATCAAAAAACGATAATCAAAGATTTTTCATTTCTATCAAAAAGTGACAATGAAGATGTAGAAAATTTCGAACAAACGAAGAACTTTTGGTATTAGAAAAAAAATTAGTCAACAACAAAAAAATTAAACTAATGTTTTAGAGAAACGTGGAAGTATAGGTTTAACATGCAATTCCATGAGCGAGCATGTTCGTTGTTCTATAGATGCAATTATGTATGCAAGTTGCAAATAAATATAAATGTTATGTATGGTAATAATGTACCGTTAAAGTCATATACGGACCATTTGTTTTCGGACCATCATCTTCCAACTTTCGGACCATCATCTTCCAACTTTCGGACCATCATCTTCCAACATTCATTATTACTCAGATCATTATCTAATGTTTGGAATTTCTCAGAAAAAGAAACCAAACGAGTTATATCAGAGTGACTTAAACAAGCAGGAAAACGTTTAAGTGGTCTACCATCATGTTAGGCTGTCAAACATTTTATTAAATGATGATTTTAGTTATTTTAATAATAAAAGCATCAAACTTTTGTTATTAAAATAACTAAAATAATTATTTTAGTTTTTTTAAATTCTATTTGCTTAAAAACATTAGAAATAAATATCTAAAAAAACTGCTCAACTTATTTTTTAAGGTAAAGGAGTAATTAAAGTAGCACACCTTTAAAAATTTTATGAACTTGAATCTAAAAATTTAGTTGCATAATTCAACTTAAATGAAGTTTCAATATTTCCAAAGCCAATTGAGATGCAGTCAGTTTCTACCTGTTAAAGGGAATTTTGCGACAAAACTTACCATGCTTTAATTAATCATCCAGGACTGTAGCATAAAAAAGAAAAACAATATGCAGCAGATATTATTAACATTGTTGTGTCATGGTGGAAAGTTCTTAATATTAAGGGAACAGATGCTGATATTAGATTTAATGATGAATTTCAAGTAGTAATTAGAGATCCTAATAATAACAGATTAAAAAATATTTTAAATTTTGAAAATATGGCTTTAAAGTCGTGATCAGTGAGTTTTCTACTGATCGATTGGAAAAAGAATTTAGCGAATTGTACGAAGGTTCAAGAGGAACACATTTCATAAAAACACAACAAGTGATTGAAAAGTTGAATATTTTATAAAAACACAACAAATGATTGAAAAGTTGAATATTTCATAAAAACACAACAAGTGATTGAAAAGTTGAATATTTCATAAACTAAGCTTTTGCTATCACTTGATAAGTTGTTGAGATTTTTTTAATATATTTATTTTGCCTTCTACAATAAATACAATTTTCATATATATACAACAAAATAAGTAATGGCTGGACCAAGAAAAAGACATAATTCTGTCTTATCACCGAGCCCCATAAAACCGTGGTATAAGAGTATATTAAAAATATTGTATAAATATTGTATTATATTGGCGTATAAATATTGTATTATTGTATAAATATTGTATTACATTAAAATGCTTACATTATCTGCAGTTACAAAAAAGAAAAAGAATGCAGCTGCAGTTGCATAAAAATAACAATTATATACTTGTAATAAAATAAAATAAGATATTAAAAAAAAGAGATATATAAAATAAGATATTAAAAAAAAGAGATATATACATATATTTATGTTAAGAGAGTAATATCATTAATAAACATATAATAATATTGCGGATTGTGATAATTACATTCTTTTACAAGAATTTTTTTTTTTTTAAGTTATCTTGATTTTTTATTAGAGCTTTACTTTATTTTTAAAAAAACATTTAAAATCTAACATAGTGAGTAAATAAGAACAACCGTTTAGATTCTTTTTTAAATTGATCAAGAGTGGTTTTCATTTTATTTGTAATACATGAAAATAAATTCCATAAATATGGCCCACAATACTTAATTGAGTATGAACTCAATTTTAGACTCTTGGGACAACAAGGTTGTTTAATGAGAATATTGTGCTATATTTATGGCAGGTTTCATTAAAATAGGATTCAAATATTTTTGGCGACATTCCTAACTTAGTTCTATACATAAAAACTAAAATTTCATATAAATTTATTTTATAAATGTTGTTTAGGGCGTCCGAGATAAGTTTTGATACAACCCATTCTTGTCCATATTGTGATTTTCTATTGGATGATATATAGACAAAGCCCTCTGCTGAAATATTTGAAAACCTACTACATCTTGAATCTTTTACTTCTCTTAATATAAATATGGCTTTTATAAATATATCTAAATATTTAACACGTAAAGATAAAGAATTATCAGAAATGAATTGCTAGATACCACCAAATGTATGGCAATACATAGGCTCAATTGACTATGGTAGTCCTAATATTCCCACAGATAATACCTGTCAATGATTAATATTTTTTTTAATAGTTTTTAATTCAAGAGTATGCAGAGTATCATTAAAAATATTCTAATAATGATTTTAGATTTTACAACTTTGAGATGCAGCGGCACCATGGAAATACTCGTTCAAATTATTTGAAGACAAAAAAAAAGCAGAAAGTGCTTAAAATCATGACTTGGCCTTAACAATCATTTTTTAAACAATTTATGTAAACTTTTGACGTCCAAATAAAGAACCATATATATATGCATACATACATATATATATATATATATATATATATATATATATATATATATATATATATATATATATATATATATATATATATATATATATATATATATATATATATATATGTATATATATATATACATACATATATATATATATATATATATATATATATATATATATATATATATATATATATATATATATATATATATATATATATATATATATATATATATATATACATATATATATATATATACATATATATATATATATATATATATATATGTATATATATATATACATATACAGGGGCGGGTTTAGCTTTTTAAAGAGGTTAGTCAAAAAAGTCGGTTGCGGATTTTACTGCCCCCTCCCCACGAAAGGACAGGGGGGGGATGAAGATGAAATACAAAAAAAAGCACCTACCCCATTTGTTTGATAAATAAGTTATTTGCAAAGCCTTCAAAAAAGCGACTCAAATGGGGTAGCATATTTAATATATATATATATATATATATATATATATATATATATATATATATATATATATATATATATATATATATATATATATATATATATATATATATATATATATATAGATATATATATATATATATATATATATATATATATATATATATATATATATATATATATATATAGATATATATAGATATATAGTATTAAAACTAGCAAGGATCCATTAAATCTACAAAAATAAAATATTGTCTGTGGTATTAAAATACTTTGTGGGCATCATTATTGTGTATAATTGTAACATATATAAATAATACACCTGTATGGAGTATAACAAATCATTAATTAAATAGGCAAGGTTTGCATTGTTAGGTGACTTGCAAATAGAATAAAAACTATGTACAAGTAAACAACTACAATAACATTAATACCATAATTATAAAAAAACTATAATGTAATTGATTAGTATGACT